TATCATAATTTACTTGGGCAACCTAATTATATTTTGTTAGGTTGTATCAAAAATATCTGAAGGATACCGTATGCCTACTCCTCGAGGTTGTCCCCCTGTTGTTGCAAGAATAATGAAATCATGTTGGCACGCTGATCCTAAAAAAAGACCGTCTTTCCTACTAATAACTACTTTATTAACTACCAAATTCACTACACAACAAGCTACATCTAATAGACAGAATGGGGCGTCGCCCAAATTGAATGATATTAATGTCTATATGTAATGAAATGCATTGTTAAAACAATTAAACAGATTTTGTGATTAAATTTGATGATTATATTATTACTATAATAAAATTAATAAATGATTATTATTGTTGTTATTACGATTTATATTATTTTTGTGATTTTTGTGCAAATCTTTCACAACTTTTTTGATTCCTACGAATCAATAAACTTATCACATAATAAAAATACAATAGTTGCTTCAATAGCTATACGGACACTTCAGTAGATCCCAATGGTGTCCGGAGTTAAGGGGTTCCACTGTAGAATAATGATAACAAAATTAATTAATGTTTATTAATTGAGGTAGAGATTATTAATAACTACAAATTCTGCATTAATTTTAGCTAGATAGATATAGACCCATATCTATTGTATATCTATGGTTGTATATCATACAGTATCTATGGTCCAAGCACCCCCTTTCCAGTTCCTAGATGCGCCCCTGTGTCCGGCTGCAGTCGAGGCTCGCCCCGCCTAATGTGAACTTCAAATTGACCAGGTAGGTTAGCTTTAAGCTCTAAACCATCAGTGAATTGCAAGAAGTAGGTAAGAAGAAGATTTGCAAGCAAAAAGCATCGCTATTTTACTTTTAGTAGTTACAAGTATCACAACTCTCATGCCACATGTCCTCCAAGTCCAAGATGGCGGGTAGCAACGGTTGCTATGTTTATTTACACAAAATGGGTGTGTCTGCGATGGGTCTATATAGATCGAGCTAATTATTTTTTGCTGCTAGAAAGATAAGTACGGTTACTTGATATGTCCAGCTTGAGGAGTAAGCAAGGGCTACTACAGATAAACAAAAGTAAGAAAAGTAAAAAATGGAAGATGGAATGGAAGACCTACTTCTTTAAAGTGACTGGTTCAACTTACTTACATTATTTCAGACAGAATGAGGTACAGAAACATTGTATAGAGCTGGGCCTAGTTATGCTAGGCCCAGTTGCAGTGTCTGGGTTGAAGGGAAAAAGAGAGAGTGCAATGAGCTAAAGCCTTAACTTTAGCAGAGGGATGGTGCATAAAAACCTTAATAGAGTCATTTTGTGTGTATTTTATACGTTAGGCAATGGCACTAGATGCTAAACCTAAAGATCAAATATTTATTAAGAGAATATCATCAGTAGAGATACCTCCTGAAGCACCAAAGAATGGAAACTTTGTTTTTGAAGTCCATCATTCTGCAGGAGGGAGCTCACCGTGGATACTCAGTGCTGATAGTGAAGTAAGTATATGAGCTATAAAACATACATGTACTGGGCCTCATGCTAGAGTATAATAATCAACCTATTTTTCAGCAAGAGTACATTGTTTTCAGCTTTATGAAAGAATTAGCAAACTGTTTTGCTTGCAACAAAGTCAAACCATCATCTTTTGCTCCAATATGTCCTTAATAGGAGGAGAGACGTGATTGGATGGAGACAATTAAACCAAACAGCACCACGATGCTACACAACTTACAGATCAAGGACATTCATCAAAGAAACAAAACCACTTTAAAACATTCTACTTCGGCAGTATCACCGCAACTTAGAAGTGGATGGCACCATGACAACAAGATGGTTGATATGGCAGGAAATAAATCTCCTAATATGCAGCATAGACAACTTCGACATGCTGTGTCAGCACAAAACATAAGCTCATTGCATCCAAGTGCATGTGCAAATGAGTATTCATCACCAAATTTGTATCAATTAATGCAATCAGCAAATCATGATTGTAGTATATCTCTGAAATATGGCGGAGGAAGGACATCTCCTTCACCCCAAACCAAAATGATGCCACACTCTCCAAGAATGA